AAATATATAAAAAATTGTGTAGGGTACTCAAATGAAAGGTCTCGATGAGTATAACATCGGGATGAGCTTATATCTTTAAAAATGTCAATATTTCACAAGATACAAGGTAATTTCTTAATTATGTATCTGGAGATAGAGTATTTTCGAATGCAGCATAAATACTTACACTGTATTTTAAAATTTAATGAACGTACTTGTAGTGAAAAATAATAATAATATTATGTATTTTTTCAGTCAATAGTCCAGTTGAGTTTGGGCAATTTAATCCACGCTAACAATTCACAGCAAACATTAATTCAAAACCAGACAAACGTCCCGATTCATGTTGACTTAAATGAAGGAACCGACGCTGAATTCATTCCAAAGCAGCCTGATAAGGCTAAAGTAATAGAATCTACTGGTAGTTTTTTTAATGACAATGGGTTCAGTGAGAATTCTAAAAGATTTATACCCATTTTAAATAAAAGTGTTAGTAGGCCACGTGTAGGAAGACCTCGTAAGGATGCTGTTTCTACAAAAGTAAGAGAGAAACTTAATAATTTATTTTTAAAAATATTTATGTAATTATTTTATTACAGTCACCTAAAATAAGTATTAAGTGTGAAATTTGCGGCGAAGAATTCTCAAAACAAACACTTTATCGGAAGCACATGGACCATCATGCCGAAGAAAAGCCTCATCGGTGTCCGAAATGTCCAGCTTCTTTTAACATACCAGTAAGTTTTTTGTACAAACACGACAATTAGTAACTTCAATGAATCATGTTAATTAAGATAACAATATGCGATCTGTTAATTCTGTAAATTATTTTTCTAGACAAATTTCACGCTTCACATGGCGACACATAATTTGGGGGAGCCAAAGTGTCCCGAGTGTGGCCGTAAATTTGCGAGAATGGCGAGTCTCAAGTCTCATTTGGCATTACACGAGAAGGAAGAACATCTTTTTTGTAAAGAATGCGAGGACGTATTTCCAACAAAAGTAAGTAATTATTTATTTTAATAAATAAAAAATGACCAAGCTAATTTCTTAGAAATTAACAAATATTAAAATAATTATTGGTAATATTTTAATTTATCACTTTATTTATCTTAAATCAAGTCATTAAATATTTATTGTTAAGAGAATAAGAAAAATTTTGTTTCCTAGATAGTCATATCATAAAATCGGTTTTTTTAGTAAAATTTAGTGTCGTTGCAAAGGTCGTGACTTTAATTTGTGCCTTTTCAAGGTTTCATTTAATTCTCGTCGATACTCAATTTATTATGATAAGAATTTAAGCTACGTTCGAAAATGCTCTATCTCTAGATACGTATTAAAAAATGATCCTGTATCGTGTGAGATATTGACATTTTTAAAGATATAAGCTCATCCCGATGTTATACTCATCAAGAGCTTTCATTTGAGTACCCACATCAATTTTTCATATATTTATCATATATACATCATATATATAATATATATAAATATATGAAAAATTGATGTGGGTACTCAAATGAAAGATCTTGATGAGTGTAACATCGGGATGAGCTTACATCTTCAAAAATATCAATAATTAAGAAATTACCTTGTATCTTATGAACTACTGACATTTTTAAAGGTATAAGCTCATCTCGATGTTACACTCATC